CGGACAACAACAATGGGCGTTTTGGACTTTATACTACTTATTTCCTTTCAATTCTCATGTATACCAAACATTGGAATTGAAATTCCCAGTAATTTTATTCCTGTAAACCAAACACTGGAATTTAAATTCTCACATTATACCCAGTAATTCATCTCTCATGGAATTGCAATTCCTTGCCTACGTAATTCATTCCTTACGGGTTAAAAACTTACTTATAAGAGAAAATGTAATACTTATAATAAATTTGATCCGACTCAAGAAACCTATGAGATTTTGCCTATGTATGCATGATTTCATGCAAAAACAAAAAGAAAATGTAAATGCATGCATGTATCCACCTTGACTCGCTCATTAAATTTGCGTGACCTTATTCTCTGCAATTATCTTATTGCTATGCTGTACCCTCTGCCCTTCACTTGCTACTTGCTTCCTTGTTTGACTTTTGGTCCATACCTTCATTCTTTTCAACTGTAATAAATTTCACATGTAATAATATCTTAAACTGTAAGGGTTACAACACAAATTGACCATTTCCCGGCCATTTAATAAGATTCTTCAAACAAACCCAAATTATCATAGAAAAAGAAAAAAAAAAAATTGTAATGATATTTTGCTGTCTCTCTCTCTCTCTCTTTTTTTCTTTTTTTTTTTTAGTTGTCAAATTTTACGAATTTTCACTTTTTTTTTTTTTTTTTTTTTTTTTTTTTTAGGGAAGAGTATTGATTAGTAGATGGGAGTGAGGGAAGTAGAATTAGGGCATGAGAAATTACAACTTTGACCCACTAATTTTAGATTTAATATAGTTTTAATTTGTTTATTGATAATTATGTGAATGTTGGGTGAAAATTGCTATAGAAAAACAATCGAAGGATGAAAAAATGGCTTAAAAAAAATAATAAATAATCAATGATTGAATAAGTCACTATGTGTAATAATTTATAAATTACCCATATGATAATAATTGAATTCGTGACTTTTAGATATGAGAGTTATAATCCACCCACTTGGTCAGTCTTTTCGAGGCTCTCGGTCAAGATGTTGACAACCTTCAATATTTGACTTGATATACTGGTGTTATTTATACAATTCTTTTTCATGAATTACTTGCAAATTTGTTAACTTCACCCTAAATTTAATTTAATACCATAATAACATATTAAGAGGTAGGGTCACACTTGTGTGAGACAATCATATGGATCTTTATCCTTGAGATGGTCGGAAAAATAAGAAAATGTAATACTTATATTAAAAAATGTAATACATACTAATCATGAATAAAGTAGTTTTTGTTATTTATAATGGAAAGTTTAATACTTTTGAGAAAAAATGTAATACTTTTACATTTTGATGTAAAAGTATTATATTTTTCATCAAAAGTATTACATACACTTTCCCTTACTTACAAGAGAGAATGTAATACTTATGAGGAAAAATGTAATATTTTTAAATTAAAATATAAAAATATTATATTTTTCATCAAAAGTATTACACTTTCCCCCGGATAATGTAATACTTATGTAAAAAAAAAAAAGTACACCGTAATACTTTTAAATCAAAATATAAAAGTATTATATTATTTTCTTCAAAAGTATTACAATTTTCCATATAAGTAATAAACATTTTATTATTGATTAGTATTACATTTTTCAGTATAAGTATTACATTTTCATATCGACTCGACCCGCCTCACAAACAAGAATCCATGAGACGGTCTCACACAAGTTTTTGCCTAAGAGGTAAATATTTATAAATGATTTGACTGTGATCATACTGCAATTGGTTTCTACATGTACTTTTTTTTTTTTTTTTTTTTTTTTTTTTTGTGCAACCTAGGGTTTTCACTGTCAGACATAGTGACTAATCCACTCGCTGAATTTGCAGGCACATCTAAGGAGGGTCAACTAGACTAGAGATTTAAGATTGCTGATTGCTACATACTCAAAGTCAATGGTCGATTCCCTTAACATTTAGTAGGATAGATGAGTCAATTCCACTCAACCACACTCAGAGGGCAAATTTTATTGTGGAACATGAAGTATGTATCATTCATTCATTCTAATTACATTCCAGTTTCATTTGACAATATTGCTCTGCTTTTTCGGTTTCATTTTTCATACACAATAATTTTATTATAGCAATATAAAAGTATTGCCTGCTATAGTTTCATTTGACAATATATATTATTACACAAGCTCTATTTTTTACTTTTACTTTTCACACACTAATTTTATTATATACTAAATTACATTTTAATTTTATTACAACTTTACGACCATGATTCATTCAGCGCTATGTGAACCATGGTCCAGTGTATAACAAGTAACACACATGTACATGACTTTAAGCCTCCACGTCATGTTATGTATTTGAGACACGTTGAGTGTAGTGTAGTGTAGAGACATATTTCTTAACCTTTAATTTTAGAAAGGAATTAAATGAAGATTGGGAAGTAGTTGGAGAGTGACTCCTACCTGTCTTTGCTGCTCCACCGTTGTGCCTCCCCATCCTTCTTCTTCCATTTCTGCTTCTTTTCATGCATTTCCCTCTTTTTTAAATACATTAAAAATTAATCTCAAAATTTCTAGAATTTTCAAATCTTATGTCACCACATTATAAAATTGTTACTTATGAATGTCCCTTTTAAGTTCTTTTTACATTATATTTCTTCTTTTAAGACATTTGATTTGATTATGTAAAACGACAAAATTAAAATGGATAATGATACATTTCTTTCCTGATTTTACATTATCACGTAATAATATTTGATTGGCTCTTTATATATGTTATTCGCAAGTAGATTTTATAAAAAATGCTAGATGGAGTTGACCAATTCACGGTAGTTAATGGATAATAAGAGTTTTATTCTTACCTAAGGAATTGAACGTTATAATAATAATATCAAGAGGAAAAAATAGCACTATTCAATTGAAATAAATATGAACTCCAACCTACTATTCAAAAAAAAAGTGTAATCTTTTTAGATCTTGAGTGCAACAAACTTAAGTATATTATTTTTTATATCTTAAGTGCATTATTAGTTAATAGTTATCAATAAATATACTATTAAGCTTGTTTAGTATAAGACCGAAGTGCATAATAATTATAAAAATGTTATTATATTTTTCTTTATTTTTCGTCATTGTCCACCCGATCATCCTATTTGGATGGTTGAAATTATTCTACATTTTCTTTTTTTTTTACAAAGCATGTTTTCATTTAAACTATGCGTGCACATACTCACACACAATTTATTAGTGACTAACGGATATAAAAAAAATTGTATTGTTATGTCAAGAGTCAACATTAGAAAGTGAATTCAGTAGTGAAAAGTAGCATTGTTCTATTAATTAATATGCATGAAATCTCCATTTAATTTTATTGCTATTTTTTTTTTGTATTTAAAATTTTCAACATATATATAACAACATTTACTAAAGAGTTAATTTCATTTTGGTCTTAGATTTATAGGTGTCAATTCACTTTTAGTCTTTTTTTTTTTAAAAAAAAAGAAAAAATTCCCCTCTGGTTATAGTATTATTGTGACATGATCATTTTTGGTCCACCGAACTCCGTCGACAAAAATCGTTGAAATGTTATTAAATATAAGGGCATTTCGATCTTTTTTTATACAAAGTGGGTTTACTAGCTATATTTTTATTTGCTGATGGAGGACAAAAAATGATCATACAATAATAATACTATGACCAAAGTGAGATGTTATGAAAAAAAAAAAAAAAAAAAAACTAAAAGTAAATTGCTACCTATAAATTTAAAAAAAGAAAATAGAATTAACTCAACATTAAATGTCCCCATGGTTTTAATTAGTCTAACAACATTCATTTACTCATCATTTATGATATGAACTAGTGTCAATTTCTAGCCCTTAAGGGGGCGTTTGGTTCAGGTTATATTACATAACCATGGGAATATGACATTCCTGAGCTTAGATTCCTATGTTTGGTTCATACTATCTGAGGGAATATAACATTCCCAGGGAATGGAACATTCCCTCCACATAGGATTTTGAAGGGAATGTGATTCCCTTCCTTTTCTTAGGTAATGTGAGATAACCTTGGATATTTATAAATTTTGCTATTTTCATTCTAATTATTTAAAAATATATATTTTATGTTAGCTTATATATATATATATATATATATATATATATATATATATATATATATATATATATATAAAGATAAAGATAACCCTAAACCAAACATAATTATATTATATACCTCAGTCTTAACCAAACACAGGAATTTAACATTCCCAGTAATCTAACATTCCCAGCAATCTAACATTCCCTAAGGTAATCTAACATTCCCTAAGGTAATCTAACATTCCGTGAACCAAACGGCCCCTAAAAGTAGAATTAGTTGGCGGCAATATTTAGTTAATCAAATGCCATATAGCTGTCATTAATAAATGGACAATATATTATTTGGACCCTCCATTCCAAGGTCAACACTATCATTCATAAGCACATAAATACATTCCCCTAGTCCGGATGTGCAGCTCAACTGGTCATGGAGATAAAAATTGAAAAGAATGACTAGTGATCAGGAATCAAGCCTCATTAGTAACAGTGTGCAAATTAAAGATCTAACATCTATAGTTCATGTTCACTTGAGTAATAAATGCATGTATTTTCATACCATACTTTTTTGTGCTTGGCCGCCTCATCCATTAATGGGAAAATTGTAAAGTAATTCAAACCATTTACATTTTACTTTAATATTATTAAATAATTAAATAATGTTATATTATATAGAAAAGGGCACCACATTATAAAATTCATGTGAAATTTCACCTAAATTAAACATATCTGAATACAGAATAATTATTTAATTCGAATATCAAATTTCAGATATCCAAAATAAATTCAAATATTGCCCGAACCTAAATTAGAAAGTTTGAATTATGGTGAGAAGTGGCACAACACATTTGGCCATATTATCAAGTGTGAATTGAAGTTCTTGAATTGCCTTAATTGATGCCCACCTGTAATTTCATGCTTTAAACCTTACTTATACCCCTTCTCTATTATCCCCATTCTCATCACCTTCCTCCATTGTTTCACCATTACAAAAGCTTTCATTCAAGAATGGATTCCCCTTCTTCTTCTTCACTGGTTTCCCCATATTATCACCACATTTTCACTGCATTGGCTTGCTTCATTTCCGCCTTAATCTTCATTTTTTCAAGAAAATCATCCAAGTCTAAGAGGCTGAACCTGCCGCCGGGGCCTCCTGGTTGGCCGGTGGTCGGGAATCTTTTCCAGGTGGCTGGCTCCGGGAAGCCATTTTTTCAGTACGTGAGGGATCTTAGGCCAAAGTATGGACCCATTTTCACGCTCAGAATGGGGACGAGAACTATGATTGTTGTGAGCAGTGCGGAGTTGGTCCACGAAGCTTTGATTGAGAAGGGGCAGGTTTTCGCGTCTCGGCCCAGGGAAACCCCGACGCGGTCGGTTTTCAGCTGCAACAAGTTCACGGTGAACGCGGCGGTTTACGGCCCGGTGTGGCGGTCGTTGCGGCGGAACATGGTGCAGAACATGCTTAGCTCCTCGCGGCTCAAGGAGTTCCGGCGGGCCAGAGAGGTGGCGATGGATAAGATGATCGATAAGGTTTTGACGGAGGCGGCGGCGAACGGCGGCGCGGTTTGGGTGCTGAGAAACGCCCGGTTCGCGGTTTTCTGTATTTTGCTCGCCATGTGTTTCGGGATCGAAATGGACGAGGAAATGATCACCACCGTTGAACAGATGATGAAGAAGGTGTTGATTGTTCTTGATCCGAGGGTGGACGATTATCTCCCGATTTTAAGCCCATTTTTCTCCAAACAAAGAAAAAAGGCTATGGAGGTAAGGAAAGAGCAAATCGAAACGATCGTCCCGTTCATAGAAAAGCGCCGCCGCGCTCTGCAAAACCCCGGCTCGGACGAAACGGCGTCGTCCTTTTCCTACCTGGACACTCTGTTTAACCTAAAAATCGAAGGGAGGAAATCGGAGCCGACGAACGCGGAGATCGTTACACTCGTCTCCGAGTTCCTCAACGGCGGCACCGACACGACCGGCACCGCCATCGAGTGGGCGGTGGCGCGTATGGTCCACGCGCCGGCGTTACAGTCGCGGCTGTACGACGAGATCAAGCGCGTCGTCGGAGAGAGAAAAGTCGCGGAGTCCGACATGGAGAAACTGCCGTACCTTAACGCCTTCGTGATGGAGCTTCTGCGCAAACACCCGCCGACGTACCTGTCGTTGACCCATGCGGTGATCGAGCCGGCGAAATTGGGCGGCTACGACATTCCCACCGACTGCAACGTCGAGATTTTCCTGCCGGGGATTTCTGAGGATCCGAAGATATGGTCCGACCCGGACGCGTTCGACCCGGATCGTTTCCTCTCCGGGCGGGAGGCCGCCGACATCACCGGCATCACCGGAGTGAAGATGATCCCGTTCGGCGTCGGCCGGAGAATCTGCCCCGGCTTAAACATGGCGATGACGCACGTGAATCTGATGATTGCAAGGTTGGTTCAGGAATTCGAATGGTCCGTTTACCCGGAAAATGGCAAAGTGGATTTCAGTGAGAAATGGGAGTTCACTGTGGTGATGAAGAACCCCCTTAGAGCCAAGGTCAAGCCAAGGGCATAATGGGCATCCCAATTTTATATATTAATTTATAGATTATAATTTTCAAAACTATGTGATTTTTTTTTTAAAGGTAACTTGATCATCTTCTTTTGCTGGGAATTGAATGTGTAATTGTATTAGCATTTCGAACTTTGATGTTAATCATCTTGACAATTTTATTTCTCGTAATTAAACGATTCAAAGTCATAAAGTTTATAAGAAAAATCATTGCATCTATGTACTTTATAATTGATTAAATTATCTCTGTGATGGCTCGACTACAACGCGTATTACACCGTATTGCCCGAAGGGGCATGATGCAAGAGCGTAGGTAAGTGATAAGCTTAGGAGAAGTGCCCGAAGGGTAGCGACAGTGGTGTGGTTACAGATGTCGTGGTTGGTGGATACTTTGATTGCCTTGTATTAGGTGAAGAGAAGGGGTGATACGCTTAGTAGGGCTCGAACCTACAATATCACTTTTATGAGCGGTACAGTTCAACCAATTAAACTATAAACCCCTACGGCCACTTTGTTATAACTTCACAGAAAGAATTCTATACATGCACTCTTACTTTTTACTCATTCATTTTCACTACATGATATAATAAACAATGATAAGTATACATGTCTAAGTCCCAAGAAAGACGAATGAGTTTGACCCTTAAGTGCAAAAGTCAAAATTTCTTTCCTTGAACTCCCACACTCTACATTTACATAAATTGTGAAAGAGTTAAATCAGTGTAACTTAAAAGTTTCTTAATTGATAAACTATTACTTCAAACTTATAAGTAGTTACCCCACAAGTGAGCTTGACCCGGACAGATTGGCAATACTGTTTCTTACATTTTGTAATTCACATGGCGGCAATAAATATGTACCAAAAGGCGATTGTACCTTTCTTTAATGCTGTATTTTGAATTATTGAGATTTTTAATATATAGTAATCTAATTATGTTTTAATTAATTTGAAGTCAAACAACAATAAAAAAAAAACGTTATATACTATACACTATGACATTGGAGTCAATGTATAAAACAGTTGTAATTAATATTCAATTATTCATGCTTAAAGCAAAAAAACAATAGTTAAAATACTATCATTTGCAGATTTTAAATTTCATATATTTTTACACAGAATTAACTTAATTCTAATGATGATTGATGATTAATGCTGAGGTTATACAGTAAGTCTACCAGTATTATAACTTGAGGGACAATAAGATTTGAGAAAATGCAATATGTATTCTCAGCATTTACACACACTTTTATATATATATATATATATATATATATATATATATATATATATATATATATAAATCTAAAGACGATTGATAGGACTCATATAACGAAAATGCATTATCATAACTTGCCATGTAAGTGAGTAAAAGTAATGCAGTAGGAATTTGAAGTATATGTAGTAAAACTTTAAAATGTGAGCACTTCTTGACCTTTGAGGTTGGGAAACTGGTCCTAGAAAGTGGATGCCGTCAAGGAGACATGTCAATTCCAATACTACGCTTCTATATATACATCGCATCACTGTCAAACACGTGTTGCAACCAACCAAAGCCACCAGTGACGCACTGCCACATAGCTGTTGGTGAGATTCTGATATGTGCTCTTTACTCTAATATTATAAGTAGAGACATCCTCTTGTTTGTTGAGAATTTGATTTATGATTTTTTTTAGTACACTTTCCGACCTTGCTGAGCCTCCCAAACACATTTTGTTTTTAACGAATAATAATGCTTAGACTTAGATAATACTTGTATTATACGTAGCTTATAAACAATAGCTCATGCAGTCAGCGACTCATAGTCTCATACGGCTGTGACCAGTGAGCTTCTTTCTCTCATTTATGGTCAGTATTAATGCCGCCCTATAAGGTGGTGACAATAAATACACATATAGCTAATGGAAAATGACAGACCTTCTTCTCAGTCCGACAGACCATTTGAGAAAATGTAAATTACAGTGACTCAATGGCTAAGCAGACAGGGTCAAATACCAGTGCGCATAAGGGATCTGCCCACTTTGAACATAATCCCCACACTGCTGTTGTCGAAGTTCAAACCTTGGTCTCTTCTCCCAAATACTGCCTACTGAACCATTGAGCTAAACCCGTGCGGGCAGAAAATGGCAAACATATAGCTCAATGTTCAAGGTGTTGAGCATATAATATATAAAATAAATATATAATCTCACTATTAGCTTATAACGAAAACTATAACTTATTAACATGAAAAATACATATATGTTGTTTATTACCTTCTTACAAACCGCATTTCTATGAGCTACTGTAAAAGTTTACAAGCCAATATATATCTTAGATACAACAACAGCTGCTTATAAAACATTTATAAACCTAAGTGCCCAGTTGCAATAAATGACAATATATAACCCAAATAAAAATATCTTCATTCAGACATTAAAACTGCATGGCTATAAAAACAGTAGCAAGATACTACCTGTGCATATTTGGTCTTACATGATCATCGTAGAGCGAGAAGCGTGTTGCAGGAGGTGGTGTGTTGTTTTCCCGGGCAGAATGGGCGGATGAGAATCCGATGGGAGAAGATAATTGCGGGGTCATGGCAGGGGAGAAAGGGTAGGTTGGGAAACTATGGTTACTAGAAAAAGGACTGGCTGCACTTGACTGAGGATCGAAAAGATTCGATCTTGAGGAAGAGGGTAGACTGGTATTAACGGAAGGCTCAAACATTGGCCTCCACGGTGCATTTCTTGATCCAATTTGTATAGAAGGGTTGGTGGGGATGGAAGAGAATGGACTCCCTGCAGAAGAGGTAGATCGAGACTCGAGGAAATGGCTGGGGAAGAACATATCGGAAACAGTTTCAGGGGAACGATTTACCATACTGAATTGTAGAGGAATAGAAGTTGTATCCCGATGTAAGTCTGTTGGCAATCTGAAAAGTGCCGGGCATCCGGCAGGAATCTCCGTTCTTCCACGAATTTCACTCGCGGGAAAGGAGGGTGCAGCAGCCTCGGCTATCTGTGGTATGCTGTGGAGTTTCTGTCTCAGTGATACTTTAGCTTGTTCCAGTGCCTCGAGGACATTTCTTACGTTTTTGTTCTTCTCGTGGGAGATCAAAGCAAGTTCATATTTCCCCCCCGAAGTGTCATGCTTTTGCAAATTACTGCCATCAGAAGAAGATGAAGCATGCTCTGAGGGGTTCGCAGAAACATTATTTTCAGAATGCACTGGATCCGAATTTCCCTTAGACACGGGAAACGCAAATTCTGGTGACGAGGACTCAGAAACGACTGTTTTGTGAGATTTCATTTTGTCAAGTGCAGGGGGGCGAAAATCATTCGGGGCTTCCTGCACTCCACTTGAGTGTCTATCTGCTCTCTCTGGCTTGCATTCTTGGTCTCGGGAACATATCGTCTTAGAGGAGGATGGTTGTTCGGATGCTTTCATGTCATCTCTTTCTTCAGTCACATCTGAATGGTTTCCCAGGTCACATGAATCCTGCGCCGTTCATACAGAGAAGATCTATTATTCCTTAGCACAATCAGAATAATAAACTATTTACCTGCTGGAGAATGTACACAACATATTACCAAGAGCTATTGAAATCTACTAAAGAGGAAATGTGGATAACCTTTGTTTTTGGGTGACGAGGGAAACCCGCAGCCACTACCCGAGGGTGTGCACTGGGTAAACCCTGCCTTGTCACCCTAGCCGGCAAAAGACCACAAGGAGGTAAACCAGCCTAGGTTGTCCATAGCTGACCGGCTAAAGTGCTAAACCCAAGAAGGCCAATAGGCCGCTTCTGCTGGGAGTCAAACTTGTAACCTTTGGTGTTTTGGGTTGGAGCATATATAAGAATGCTAATCTCTCTTGACAGATTTTATTCTAAAAGACAAAGCATTATATCATAGCAGCTGCTATATTTCATACCCATACATAAAAACTAGCATAATAACTGGAAATCAAGAATTTACCGGCATAAAGCTGGTATTCTCTCTGTACTTTTCTTCCCATTCTCTCTGCGCTCTCTCTTCATCTTCATATTGACCTATAAGTTTTGCTTGATGTTGTAAAGCTTTTTCCATGTCTCCATCGCCTTCATGTGTGCAGTTTTGATTTTCGAGAACCTGAAAAGCTGGAAATTCCAATTGGCCACTTTTAGCATGGTGTTCAAGGCCATCTCTATGTGACTCGGTACCAAAGTCAGCCGGTCCAAGAAGATCCTGAGTGTGTGTAGTTCCTGAATTATCCCGAGCAGCATGCATGCTAGTTTTGCTATATGATTCTTCAGCAGTAGATCTGAAAATACAAGACAACTAATATTTATACAATGCATAATTGCATATGTAAGATGTTGAAAAATTTAATACCCGCATATGCTTGGAGAAATATTATCTTTCGAGAGTTCATAGCAACGTGGAACACAAACAAACAATTTGTTGAAGGATTTGAAGAAGGAAAGGTTGTATTGTTATTTAATATTTACACTCCCTTCACAAGCAAATACATAGACTACAATATATAGGCAGTAAAGAGAATACTAACCGAGCCTAGGAATACTAACAACAGAAGAACCTAAATAGCCACAAGAAATAATAAAAGCATAATAATGAAAATAATGAAGCCACATAATGAATCTCAACACAATTCTACAGCTTTTTGAACCAAAAAAGGAGCATTTATACAAGTGTATGACATTCAATGTCATCACCTTGTACTCGTGTGAAAAATAATGAATAAAAGAAATGAAACTGACCTTGTTTCCCTGCGCCTTATCCGCCGACAAGATTTACCAACGTGTTTGGATGAAGTACCAGTTGATGCAAAACTACTAGATCTTCTGGAAGAATCTATGTATTTCTTCCTGTTCGAAGAATGCAGAGATTCTCTATCACTTTTCCACGACAAGCTTCTACCAGAAGATGGAGAAGAGTCAATCTCAGAGCTTGAGTAGGTTTCTCCACCATTATCCCTCGCTTCCTTGGGCTCATCTTTACTATCAGAAACATTAGATTCACACATCACAGCATCCTCGTCAGAGCCTGAGTCAAAACCATCTGAAGCATCACCGATACCATGGTTCTCTAAAATGGCTAGCACAGCTGCAGTGGCTTTCTCGGCTTTCTTTCTTTGAAGTGTGACAGTATTTAGCTGTTCCTCCAGTTCTGCAACCTTAACACGGATGGATTTTATGGTTAAAATAAAAATATTTATGAATTGAAGAAAAGATATAATAACATGGTAATTGTGCCACACAGGAGTAATCCTTTTTGCAAAGGGGGGAATAAGGAATATACAAATCATGTGTGAGTTTAGAAAAACGGGAGTTACCTTCTTGGTCAGTTCATCAGCTCTCTGCTTTGCTGTCCGGGAGACTGATCTTTCAGACAGTAATCGTGCCCGAAGAAATTCAATTCTCATTGAAGGTGAATCTTCCATGACTGGAGTATTCCTGATGAAACGTTTCCACGATTTCAGGTCAGAATAGCATCCCATTTTACGAAGTTTTTAATATCCAGCCATTAGAATTGTAGCAATTTAACCACAATTCAAATAGTTTGAAGTATTTATACGATCTGGTCCAGGTTTCAAAACACTAACACAAAGTTCTTCTCGGTATTCTATCCAGAGTCTTTTTATCGACTAATACCATTAAAATTGCATTCGAACAATCAAAAACTTGCTTTTTAAATGGCACACGTAGATTACAAGAGGAAAACACATACATTATTTCCACGATCTTTAGAAAAGACAACAAAGCCACCAATATTGGACAAGTAGTCACCAGATCATGGACAATAAAATGCACCTCATTACTAGACCATAGTATTCATCATTCAAGTGTGACTCCCCAGAACTATAAAGAGGGACCTTCAAATTTTATAAGTCTACTTTCTTCATTTCTTTTATCTAAGCTCAAACAACCTAGCATTTTCAGTTCTACATACACATCAAATTCAACTCAATGGGATTCAAGATTCAATCTTGATTTTTCATCCCACATAAATTTATCCCCAACAAACAAACCTTATCATATGATTAAACACAAAGCAAAGTGGGGGGGTGGACTTGTTCCTCCATTATTGCACGAAGCAGATCTTATAGTGATCAGACTGCAAACCCACACTGAACTTATGCAATAATTAAAATCAAACAAGGAACTACTACCCAAACTTCAAATTGATCAAAGAAAAAGCTCGGAAATCAAAATTATAACAGAAACAATAATAAAATCAAAACTTTGAAGCCAAAGCAGGAAGATGATTACCTCTGATTCTGATCTTCATTCCCCGAAGTAGACATTCTTGAAATCAAAGCTTAACTCTCAGCTGTCAAGGAACACAAATAGAAATGCAGACTATGATATCAAAGACCCAAATTAAGATTCCCAGTCTAGCAATCAAACCCACTATAATTCAACTAAAAATAAATAAATACGGAGTAAAAGATAACTATGAGCACTGATTGCATAAACGTGAAAAAAATTGAATAAATTAAAATCGAGCTTAACTTGAACGCTGACTTTAGTTGAAGCTCCTCCCCGAATGAAGTCTTCGATTTCATGGCTAGACTTTGGTCTGGAAAACCCACTGTGTGGGTTGAGCGTCGAGACTAGACAGAGTCTGTGTGTTTGTGGAGGGTAGTTTTGGGAATGAAGATTTTTTCTCTCTAAGAAAAAAATAAAATAAAATAGAGAAAGATTATTTTTTGTTCTCTAGTTATATTATGGACCTGTGTTATAAATTTATGATCTATGATCTATGATCTATTTAGAAATTTATAAAATGTTTTTTTTTTTAAAAAATTGATTTAATTTTTTAATGTTCGGCTAAAGTCAAAACTATCTTTATCTGTTTCTTTTATTTTTTCTGAAAATAAGCATATTATTTGTTATATAATAATAATAATAATATAATAATAATAAATGGTGATAGTGGTGGTGTGTTGTAGTTGTGATAGTGGTGGTTGTAGTAGTGTTGGTATTGATAGCGCTATTGGTGTGGTGGTTGTGGTGATGGTGTTGATGGTTGTGGTAGTATTAATAATTCAAAAACTAGCTTAATAAAGCGATGGGAGAAAAGATAACAAAAAATAAAGAATATATAGAACATCTTTTCAGACTAAAAATTTAGGAAGACATTTTTCGTCAAATTTGACATTTTTTTCCATTGACTATAATGATTTTTATTTTTACTTTATTTTCCTTAAATACTCAAACATGATAAAATTAGAAAAAGTACTTGCATAAGTCATTTTTTCGGGTTTTTTAAGTGGCATATAAGCTTTAAGTTATATGTGATAATTTTTAACGCTTAAATCATGTGCAAAGTGACAATTTTAATCTTTTAATAACTAAATCACTCACGTTATTAAGTGACATATTGATAATAGATATAATCCACGATTGACTAGAATCGTTATTGATAGCGTAAACGGAAACGGGGGTTACGAATACATATGTCTGTAGACAAGTAGGAGAGAGCGCTCGTAGGACAGCCTGTCGGTCGATCTACCGGGGGATGGTCTACCAGGGACTAAGCAATTCAAGGCTTAGTAGTATTACAAGTAGCAAGTGGTCACAAGCGGGCTGCTACAAATGATGCAGGTTGCAACTGTATAGTGCAATTTATGAGCAGGTTGCTAATACAGAGTGAAGGTTACGAGTAGCAGGTTGCAATGTACCAGCAGGGTGATGTTACACGGTGTGTAGGTTACAGTGTAGTAAGTAGTAGCTATAATGAGATGAAGATGAGAAGTGAGGGGGAGACACTCATATTTATACTAACTAAGTCGGCCTACGCATTTAATGCACCTGCTGCAAGCGGCTTGATGTGGCGTCTTCTCGTTGGCTTGGTCAGACGGTCACCTTGCAGTTACTCGTAGGTTGACTGATCGAGGTGACAGAGCCGCCGTACCTGCAAGCTGTTAGTCTCCGCTCTGCAGGTGCAAGTTGGCCTCTATAACTTGTCGTATAAGTTACATTTTCGGCTTTGTAGGCTGCGTCACATTGTAGGCCAACTGGTCAACCTACGGTAGACCGGCCGGGTGGCTTTCTGTCGGGGTGATCCCAAGAATGATCCGAGAGAATTTTTTATTTTTTATTTTTGTCACGAGGCCTATCGGTACGAGCGGTATGATTGATCCCAAGTGATTTAGTCCCTTCGAGTTGATGGCTACGACGGACCGGTTGGGTGACTTCTTGACGAACCGACTATACAGATTAATCCTTTATGCGTATTTACCCATCAGTTATTTTACACCTAACTTAAGGGTTAAAAGATAATTACACATATAATTCATGGACTAAATATTATATAATTGAAGACCAATTCTCTAAAATAAAAAAGAAATATAGGTTTCATCTTTGAAAGTGAAAAGGACAAGGACAAATGAGGTCAAAAAATGGCATAGAGGTCCAAAAAAGGAAAAGGACTCGTAGGTTGACTGATCGAGGTGACAGAGCCGCCGTACCTGCAAGTTGTTAGTCTCCGCTCTGCAGGTGCAAGTTGGCCCCTATAACTTGTCGTATAAGTTACATTTTCGGCTTTGTAGGCTGCGTCACATTGTAGGCCAACTGGTCAACCTACGGTAGACCGGCCGGGTGGCTTTCTGTCGGGGTGATCCCAAGAATGATCCGAGAGAATTTTTTATTTTTTATTTTTGTCACGAGGCCTATCGGTACGAGCGGTATGATTGATCACAAGTGATTTAGTCCCTTCGAGTTGATGGCTACGACGGACCGGTTGGGTGACTTCTTGACGAACCGACTATACGAATTAATCCTTTATGCGTATTTACCCATCAGTTATTTTACACCTAACTTAAGGGTTAAAAGATAATTACACATATAATTCATGGACTAAATATTATATAATTGAAGACCAATTCTCTAAAATAAAAAAGAAATATAGATTTCATCTTTGAAAGTGAAAAAGACAAGGACAAATGAGGTCCAAAAATGGCATAGATACCCCCCCCCCCCCAAAATGGCATTGATGGCCTGTTTCTTTTGGGTTGGGAGTTCTACAACTCCTTTTCCTCCTCATCGGTGATTTGGCCGAGCTTTCTCTTGCATGTTGCATTGGTGGTTGGCCTTAGGCCCAACCTGTCTCGGGCCGACACGCGGTTGCCAAGCCTCTCCAGGGCGGGGCTGGCTTGGGTCGTCCTCCTCCTATCGCCCTGTAACACCCCTGAATTTTGAGATATTTAAAACTTATAAAATAAATGCGAATCTATCAATTAAATCTCAAATAGAGCATAAAGCTATCCCTAAGTGGCGGGGTGTTATGCCACACCTAGGTTTGAGTACCTAGGTGCACAGGCTAAACTAACCAAGCAAAATGAATCCTCAAATTAATACTCGAATACAATCCCAAGGCACGCATGCCAACTATAGTACTAAGGCTAATTAAGCTAAGTCCAAGGCCCTGATTAGCGCGCTCCGAAGCTACTGCTCATCACCTGAAAAACATTCGGTATAACAACCGTCAGCGAATAATCCTGGTAACCCACTCCAACGCGTTAAGTACAATATAGGTAGATATAAGAAACTCATTTTGAATTGAAACTGGAATACATATATACTTACAAGACTCTAGTTTAAATCCAAGATCAAGACTCAAGACATATTAGCAGACTCAACATCCTAGAGTAATCATAAGAACTAACAGGCATCCTAAGCATGCAATACAAGACATGACAGGCAGATAAGCATAAATAACAAGTAGAAGCAACTAACGCATTCAATACAGTCAATTAGAAGTCATCAAAGCACACAATTCATCCTCCAACCTTATACCAAGTTCCAACCTTGTAGCTCCCCTCCATCCTTATATCAGTTCCAACCTATACCTCCAGACCACCCTTATATCACCACCCCTTATGCCTCCGGGCAACTACATGCCCCTACCGACAAACCCCTTATCAACTACCAACATATCAAGATGGTGCCGCATTGTCATTCAATGATCCGCACCTCTAGTGTCAATATCAAGGGGTTAGCGCATATAGCTCTAATATGACACCGCAACACTTATAACCTGACTCATGCTCAATGGTAAGCAAGTCTAAGGTGGGTGTGTGCCTTAAGCACAGTCACCGCTATGGCCTGTACCTTTAGTACAATGACCGGGGACAAGTGGTGCTAACCGCTAACAATTCAATACCACCAATCACAATCTCATCATCATCATCATCATCATCATCGTCAGTCACACCGGCCATTGTGTAATGACCATGATACTCATCATTATTCAATCAATCAACACATAATCAAATAACAATTAAGACACACCAACAACGACACGTATTACACATAGATTCCTAGAACAATACCTAAAACACCAAACGAGACTCATACACGACAAACGGGATATAACGAAACACAACAGAACAAGGGGGAAAACGTCACGAACCTCGACCGATTTCCAGCGGGTGGGTAACCACTCGCCAACCACCCGCCGACGGCCATTCGCCATTCCAGCGGGTGGCCGGCGGGCAGACCACTGCCCGCTAGAAACAACGCCTCGGGCAACGGGTAGGTGGCTGGTGGGCAGTCCCCCCATTTACCCCCCACTGATACACAGGCAACTTTCGGCCTCGGGATCGCTCGTGGAACCCGAAACCATGTTCAGACACCTTCAAACACATAACGATCACACCACGTATTCAATTAACTGAAACAAACCAATAACCACACAAAATACATTCTAACACGATTCCTAAACATGCCAAGACTCAACATAATCATATAACGGTTCAAGAGCATCCGGAACCACGGGAACATCAAGAAATCTATATGCAAGGTCCTAAACACAAGTCCTAGGCTAGACTCAATACCCGATCATGCATAATCCCACCCATATATACCAAGAACATCATAATACGAAATTCACGATATAAACCCTAGGGCTTTAGACATAATCAAAATACAAGATCGTTTATATAACTAACCACAATATCAAGAACATCAAGATTATCACATAAACACAATATAAACCCTAAGCAAGGTTCTATCAAGACTCAATCACAGAATTACACATACGATTATCAAAGGAGCCAATGAATAAGATATAGCAAGGAAAATAGGTTTTGTTGAGACATGGGTTACCTCTTAGCCCTAATCAATATCCTTGGCTACTAAGGTTCTTCTCTAAGATCTTCTTCCCGTGGATTCCTCTACGTTTGGTGGCAGGGGGGTTCCTCTGTAGGTTTTCCTCCAGGAATATCTTGTGTGGTAGAATTAGCTGTGGTAGGGTTTCTAAATGTTTCCTAAGTCCCTATATATAGATTTAGGAGTCTCAACTCGGGCCTGGATGGTAAAGGTCTACTTATCCTATTCCTTACAGGATTGAGGACTTGGTTAGGGATAAGGGTGCATGGTCCATTGTAGACCACACTGATTAATTGATGGGGATTAAATCATTCTTAATTATATGGTAATGGGATTAATTAAATAATTAATCTGGATACGCAGGCCGTGGGGTGTTACACGCCCTTTCCATGACGATCTTGACGGATGTCACCCTCTCCCCGACTGTCCAATGACCGGGGCGAGTTGACCTCCCCTTCGATTTGAGTGTCGAGTGCCCGGGGTGGTTGGGTGCTCGGCCCGCTGCGCTGTCTTGAGGGAGGTGGAGGCGGGGTCAGCACC